GGGAAGGGTCAAGGCAGTCAAAAAACCCGTGGGGTACAAGCCCCTACACGGCTTGTCAGCTGCACCCTGCCTGGGAGAAAGACTCAAGGACATGATAGGTGCCCCACAGCAGTGGGGATGCAGAAACAGGGGGGTGAGGTGGACCCCTCCTTGTCCCCTGGCCGGAGGGCAGCCCCAGCCTGCTCCCACCTCGCACCCCGTGGGCACCGCAAGGCTTCTCCCAGCACCAAAGACCTTCTAGGTCAGAGCTGTTGTCCAGAAAAACAGCTTTTCACTGGGAAATTGGTTCCTGTTTGTTTGGGTTTTTAAAATGGGGAAATAAGCTACTTTTTTCCCTTCCATAGCACTACATAGTGCATAAACTGGGAAACTGGGAAAAACAGCTACACAGCCAGCATCTCATTAAGTAATATGGGGTGTTGTAAGAGCTGGAACACCACGAGCAACATATGAGTCGGGCAATTACAGACTCATTTAAGGCATGATGGGTCTGAGTGTGCTTTCATCTCCCAGGTGAGAAAAGTGTCGAAGTAGGTCCTTCTGGTCTCCCATCTCATTTTTTTACCAATTTCAGGATTTACTGCATTTCTGGTAGAAGCTTGGGGCTTTGTGAGCATCTGTGAACAAGCTATCAAGCAGCTGCCTTCTCCCGCTCCAGCGCGCGTGGTGCTGGGCAGCGTGCCACCGACGGCAGGTCACTACGGCTGCAGCACTGACAGAGGAGCAGGTCCGTGTCCTGAATTGTGTTGACATGGGGTATTTTTCTTTCGTTTACTTCAGGGACAAAACCACCAACATATGCAATCAATGCCCCCTACAAGGGGCTTGAAACAGCTGTATGTATGGCTGTTTGCCTGCCAGGCAAGGCACTGTTTTAAACTCCCATCAACAGGTCCCCGAAGAGGATTCCTTAGAGATCCTAATTTCTATCAATGGATAATGATATTGATACTATCTCTAAAAATTAATGTATTTGATAGATCATAAAGAAAACCATTCTCAAGACACAGACCTGTCAAGTCTCTGCGTGCATAAATTGCAATTGGCATCCCTCATCGTTGAGACATGGGGCTGAGCCCCTGTGGTGTCACCCAGCCCCACCACTGGACTTCTTTCCTCAGCGACAGCCAGGCACTCGCTACATCAAAAGCAAGACTACATCATTTATCGGGCTCCATGTTCAGGGATCTGCAGTGATCCACCACAGCAATGCGTACAACCGTGCCGTGAAGTGCCATGCCTCAAACGCTGCTTGTCCCGACCCTGCTGCACCTGACCAGCATCAGCCCAACCTCCTGCGTGGTGGCCAGGGCTGCTGTCACCCTCAAAACCCTCGTGCTCCAACCCGACACTGCTCTGCCTATGGTGGTTTGTCTATGGATGCTAACGGGGTGATACACTCGTTAACGAGTGCATCCAGGACTAGGGAAGCCTTTGGCAGGGCAGGGTCACCCCAAAATCACCTGCACGCTGCCTGGTGTGGGCTGCCCCGTTGGGAAGGGAGCGTGCGCTGGTCTGGAAGCAAACCTGGGCTTGAGGATGAATGGAGCAAGGCAGAAAGAGATTGCCTGGCAGCTCGAAAGCGATGCGGCGAGCAGCACACAGCTGTGCCCTGCCACGGATGAGGATGCCATCATGTGGCCAAAGCCTTTTGTTCACCTCCTTCTTGCTTTGCATATTTTTATATTAAAAGCTTTCTGCCCTCTGCTCCCTTTCAATACCAGACAGTCCACAGCTCTCCCTGAGAGCTCCTTCTGGCAGGTGTGTGTTACACGAGAGTTTTGTCCAAGTAAGTCCTCGGCATCCATCTCAAAAATGGTTTAACTGGACGAAGAATATCAGGAAAAATCACCATGTGACTCCAGCATGGGTCTGGGGCTTCACGGGGAGCACTGAACACACCAAACCTGGGCATGGTGAGAGCAGGATCATTCAGATACACAGCTCATTGCCAACCTCATCAGTTTAATTAATTCATAGTCCATTTTACATAATGCAGGCAGATAAGTAACATCATTTATTTGCACCAAAAAAACAGTCTCCCCAAGTATTATCCCTGGAGACATATGACATCACACGTCTAGAGAACATGTTTTATGTATATATATTAGAATAGGTAACCTGGAAAGGATGAATCCTTAAATGCAGCCAGCAACAAATACTTGTGTGAAGGCTCATTGATTTTATCCGTCTTGTTTATCAAAAACAGTTCTCTGTGCTTTTGCCAAGCTCAAAGGCACCATGAGCCTCCTTGCCTGCAAGTCCTGAAATGAAGCAACACCAGCTGTTTCTCCCACTTTTTAAGGCCAGTTTTGAGGGAAGCCACAATTCTGTTTTTAATTTGGGCCCCAGCGAAGAGGAGACCAAGGTTGGAGACCTCATTTCTGAGTACTGCTCCAGACCTGAAGTTTTAGGCACTGTCTGCTGAGGTTTTCAAGTCTTTTCACCAATTCCTCCGTTCATCCAGGGAAGAGGACGTAGGACCTTCTCTTTCCTCCTCCTTCTTTCCTGGAGGAAAGCCTGACAGCTGCTTCAGGCTGTCTTTAGAAACCTTTATGAGAGCATCTGCTAAAACTGCTGTTACTGGGCTTTTTCCTCAGAGCTTTTCTTCTCCAGAGGACGATGGCGGGAACCATACATTTCCCAGAGGATGGCATTGTCCCAGACTGTTCTCCCATGCTGAATGTCCCTCTGCTTGCGAGGCTGTTACCCCTCAGCCTCTCATCCCAGTGCCACTGGAGTCCTCTTGTCCCAGCAGATCTGGTTCTTCTTGGGTTTTGGCATCAGAAGCTCCATGCTTAGAAACTAAAGCACGGAGATATTTAACAGTATAAACAGAAATAATCATGATGTAAAAGATCTTGGAATAATTGAAAGGCTGAGGTAGACCAAAGGGAGATCTGGGTTTGCCCCAGTTGTCTTAGTGGGATTGCAGCAAAGAGCTGGAGGTCTGAAGCTGGCCCATGTATTTTACAGAATGATTGGAGATAAACTCTGCATCCTTTAAAGAGAATTCCTTTGCTGGTGGTCTCTCAAGGCTGCAAAGTGATGTCTGCAGGATTTGGCAGTTGGCAAGCCAGACTGTCACGTCAGGGAAATCAGATGGCCTAACGAGATACCGCCAGCAGGTCCCTGGAGGGCCACACAAGGCAAGTTGGGTAAATTAATAGGCAGCCATCTATATGAAATGCGGACTTGTTTTACTGTTTTCTGAAGAAAACAAACAGCTTAGTCTCTGAATTTAACATCCTCCTGTTTCCCAATTTGATTTATATCTTGGATAACAAACTGAAGCTGTTGAAGCCCTTCACATCTTTTCATGATAATCTTGCCCAATTGCGGCAAACTGGAGAGTTCTGTGGTGTAAAATATGATTATTACTTCATACAGGTGGAGTCATCCATTTCGTTGATCCTGAAAGCAGCTTAGGATTTGGTGGGAATCCAGACTTTCCTATACGAAAAGTGCTGGTGCACCCGTCACACCTCTCCTGTTCCTTGTTCACAAAACAGATGAGCATTATAGGCAGTGTTGTATGAAAGACCTTCCCTCAGCTGATGTCGAGTGGGCTGGTGTTGGATATATCTCGCTCGTGTGGGTAAGGGAAGTAAGTTGTTCTGTTCAGTCAATGGGAAAAAGGTCAATGGGGAAACGGCATCAGTGAAAAAGTCCAACACCAGTATAGGGAATATTAAGGTGCCCTTAGACAACAGAGTGAAAGATTTGATAAGAAAAATGTCTTTGGATTTGATTGAGCTGGTGCAGTTTTTGGTGTCCTCCAAGGACTAAGTCTGTGGCAGAAGAGGAACCAGATGCTGTAGGCGCAGGACGGAAGACTTCAGTCAGAGCAGCTGAGCCCTCACCAACACCACACTGCTGATTTGGCTCAGGACAGTAGGAGACTTTCAGGTCTTCTTGGCAACACTTTTGAAATAAGAAAGAAGGAGGTTTATAACGTACTGCAGAAAACAGCAAAGACTGCCAAGAATAATCTTGAGTATTTAACTGCTAAAAAAGTTGCTGTAATCAGGCATTTTTAATGCTGCTCCTTTATGCAACCCGAGGTTTATGAGAGAAAGAGCAAAAGTGTGAGCTGATACTCAAGACACTTTGAAAGGACTTAATTTCAGATCTGTGTGGATGGATCAAAGGAGGAAAGGATATTGTGCAGGGACTTTAGTGAGAATGGTGTTTCAAAACTTATAAAACATAAGAGAATATTCTTCTTTCAGATTTTCTTTTCTGATTCACACTCATCAAAACAATCACAACAATCAGAACAGATTGTAACGAAATTCCAGGACATCTGGAATGAAACCGAACTCCATCAGCACATTTATTGTCTGCTCCAAATCCCACAGACCCAAATTTCAAAAGTGTTTGACTATTCAGAGGTAGGTACCCATGTAAGTTATCTGACTTTCAGAGGATCTATACAATTGCAACTCCATTTGTTTCAAAGATTAATTCTCTAATTTTAGTAAAGCTAGAGGCTCTTTATGCGCTGACCTGGAAGTTAAGGATTGGTCTCAGTTTGGTCTCTTTTCATTGCTTTGAGGGAAAGTTCATAGCCAAGAAACATGGCTGAACTCATTGGGAATCCTCGCACTGCATTGACCGTGATGCCCCTAAAAAACACCTGTTGGGGATGGAGAAAGGTTAGAGCATAGGAATATACTGGCTATTTCAAGAAGAAGAAGAAAACATTGAATGAAGTCATAGTGGGATCCTGAAGAACCAAATCTTGGTTTGCTCAGGAGATACGCTTTCACTGCTGGTCTTTGCTGAAGTCTGCACTGATAAGGAAACGCAATGGCAGAAGTCACTGGTTTGGTATCATTGTGCTCCATGCTCTCTATGGACGCCCCTCTGTATCTGCTAGCAAGAGCTACAAGAGGTAAAGGGTAAAAAGTGGCCTCATAACACTGGTGTAGAGCAGAAAGTGAGAAATCTAAAACGTCTTCCAGTGTTGTCCTGCCTAGCAACGGGTCCTCTTTCCC